GACAGACGGACACAAGAGGGCCGGGGTACAGGGAGGGGGCTAGCAGGACATGTCTCTCCCCTGGAAAACCCAAGAGACAGGGGGAGGGGGACAGGGATGTTCCTGACACACAAGGATGATGGGGGGAAGCCCTCCTCAGTTTGATGGGACCCAGGTGTCTGGGCTTCTAAACCCATTCACCCCCTGCTGTAACCCACCACACTCAATGCCCCTTCCAGAGCTAAGAGAGAACTCAGGAGTCCTGGCCCCCAGGCCTGTCTGCCATAATCCATCAAATCTTACTGCCCCCCTAGAGCTGGGAGAGAACCGGGCATCCTGGTCCCCAGCCCCCACCAGACCTTATTCCCCTAAATTGAGAAGAGAACTCAGGAATCCTGGCTCACAAATCCTGTCCCCCTTGCTCTTACCCACCACACCCTGTTCCCTTTCCAGAGCTGAGGTCAGAACCCAGGCATCCAGGCTCCCACCACCCCCTACTGCTCTAACCAAGCAGACCCCGCCCCTGCCCAGAACCAGGAAGGCATTGGTCACTTTGGTGTGGGATGAGCACACGGCATGGAATGTGGGGGAGGGGCAAACACATCGGGTTGGGGGAAGGGCTCCAACTGGTGGCTGAGTAGGTGGGGCAACTGGGCCGGAGGCTGGGGCCTTCCACCTCCCTGCCCATCCCACACTTCTTCCCAACTTTACCACTTGGTACCATTTTCCTCTGCCTCCGCCTCTTCTTTTCTCCACCTGAGCTTGTATCCCTTAATCTATCTCCTTCCCATCGTTTTGCCCTCTACTCCGTATCCTGCCCTCTTTTCTTCTACTCCAAGCCCTTTCCCCACTTCTACCCGTATGTCTTTCCCTAGTTCCTGTCTCTCTCCAGCTCTGCTTATTCCTCCTTCTCTCCATCTACCCATCCATTTTTCTACTGCCCTATTCAGCTTTTTGCTTAGCCATTCAACATTCTAACCATACTCTATCCATCCATTCATACCCTTCATCCAGCCATTATTTGTTTGTCTGTCAATATACATCCATGCATTTGACCCTCCATGGTTCCACCTGTCCAGCCATTTGCCTCTTTGCCTATCTATCCCTTTGCTTTGCCCATCTCTTTGTTTCCTTGTCATTTGTCTGCCTATCAGTATAACTACATGACAGTACCTGCAGAACCTATCATATTGTCCATCCATCCATCCTCCATGACCCTTTCATGCATCTATCCATCCATCACTCCATCCATCCATTCATGAGTTCATTCATCTATTAATTTACCTATCCATCTGTTTGTCCATTCATTCTTCATGTGCCTCCTTCATCTGTCCATCCATCCATCCATCCATCTATCCATCCATCCACTTTTCTCCAGCAACGTGTCTCCATTTTCTTGTCCATCCCTCCATTTCTCTTGCTACCTCCCCTCCCACCATCTCACCATCACACCCAACCATATCCCAGATCCCAACGCAACCCACAGCTGAGTGACTCTCCAGAATCTGGCCCCTACCCTGTGCACTCACCAGAGTTCTCAGTGCCATGGGGCAGGTCAGGCAGCTTCATGCGGGCACGGTTGGGCTCCTGGTACTCAGTCTCCCCAGACTGGATGCGTTCATAGCGGCTGGAATGGCGCTGGGAGCCCATTGTGTTGTTGATGACAATGGTGTCACCAGGCACAGAAAGATGAACGGTCAGGTCATCATCAGAGATTCGTCGCTGAGCCTGCAGAGGATTCCAGAGGGATCATACTAGCATTGACTGTCATGTCCACCCCTAGGAGATCTGGGAAGGATCCAAGAAGTCCTGACACCATCACCCCCTAGCCCATTAGCTTCCAACAACCCATTCAGAACCAGAAGAGAACCCAGGCATCTTGCTCCCAGCTCCTCCCTACTCTAGCCCACAAAACTGCACTACCCTCCCAGAGCAGAGAGAAACCAGGAATCCCAGCACCTTTCACCCCTTAAGATATACAAGAACCTCTATCAGCAGCAAGGATCTCCCATTCCCACCCCAACGCCTCTGCCCCCTCTGCCATCCCCTCTGTCTTACTTTTCCCAGGATTTTTTTCCAGTATTGCCTCCAGAGGATGAGGAAGATGACGACCAGTAGGAGCAGAATGATGGCCACCAAACAGCCAATCAGGATGGAGGTGTTGCTGTTGTCATCCTTTGCAACTGGCTGGCTAGTTTTGGGGTTCCCTTGGACCTCCAGGTCTGAAATGGACAGAGAGACAGGGCTGAACTGGAGGCAGCCTCTCAGTGGGCATTAGGGAATTAGGCCATGTCCACTTCTACCCTTGTCCTGTCCTATTCTGTGACTTACCCTGGCGGGTGAGGTTGGAGGTGGGTCTTGGTTCCCCATGCAATGTGGAGCCCAGGTCTTCCTGGACAGAGGGGGCTGCAGCCCCCCTACCTGAGGGTTGAGGAGGGACCACTGGGGGCCAGCGGCTTGTTCCAGTGAGAGATGGATCCTCTACCACTTCTGGGGAAAGAGAAGAAGAGGGTGAATGGACACTTAAATGCCTAATCTCTTAGAATAACAAATTAACCAGCTAATGAGCCTCCTCGTGAACCAGAGAGAGAAAGAACAAGCTAGTCAGCTAATGAGCAAAGGAAATAACCAATTCCCTACTGAGAGAGATAACAAATGGAAGAGGGGGCAAAAGATTAAATATGCAAAGAATGAACAAACCCATTATGGAAGGAACTAATGAATGACCTATTAATGAGCTAACTCATGAATTAATTACCTTACTAATGAACAAAGGACTAAGAAAAGAAAGAACCGATGAAAGAGACCAACGTATCCAGCCAGTCAATGAAGTAACCAGCCAACCACTCACCCAAGCATACAGCACCCCAACTCCAAAACCAATCACACATCTAGTCACCCAACCAACTAATAACCATTCACCCTAAATATTAACCATGCAGCCAACCAACAAACTAACATCCCAGGTGTTCAAACGTTCAATGAACCTACCAAAGAAACATATTAACCACACAACTGAGCAACCAATCATGTAACCACCAAGAAAAGACTCTTCTGCACTAACCAACCAATAAAAAAGCCAACTACCCATTAGCTAATGAGTGAATGAATGTAAAGGATAATTAGCATATATCCTCACATACCCCACACACTTTTCCTCAAAATTTAGCCTTTCAAAATTGTGGGCGGTATATCTCTTAAGCAGGGAGACAGGTATTGTTTTTGATTCTTGCTCCACACAAAGTTTCAAACCAGCTTCCCAACAGCAGCAGGACATTTCTATTCGGGTAGTGATGAGGGGGTCATTTGATGTAATGGCTCATTGTTCTTCACTCCACAACCGTCTGTTCTATGTAATGGTCCTTATATTCTACGAATCCAGTTAACCTTTCTTCCTGCAATTTTACTGTCTGCTAGCTCCTCTTGGTCTCTGTATTCCTGTCACAGCCCTGCAGACTGTTTCTAGGCCTTTGTAAAACTGTTGATCCACCCACACAGATCAGTTTTTAGCAGAAGCTAGTTTCAGGTTTTGGTTGAGCAGGACATGGAGGATGAGCGAGCTAAAGGTAAGGCTGTTCCTGCTCTATTTAGCCATAACTCTGGAAAAATCTTTTTTGCTTCTTTCTCTATTCCCCCAAAACAGGTGCCTGTCTCACTTGGTGGTGTATAGTTGGTTTAATTACTAATGAGTAGAAAAAAGAGCTAATGAACACAAGAAGAAAAACTAAACAAAACCTAAGGTAGAACAAATACATTAATAAACCAAGGAGTCCTGAAAGAACAAATGAAAATTCCTGCCAATGAGCTAATAAATTAATGAATGAAGTAACAAACTTATCAAGCCAACGAAAGTCCAGGAACATGAAGAAGATAGAAAGGGATGGGCAGTCACTTCAGCTGGAGGGCCACTTAATGAGTTCTGGTGAGTTGTTGAGGGCTCAGTTGCTACACAACACTTCACAAGAGTGGACACAGGTAGTTTTATGGTGACAAGGGATGTTGAGACTGGGCAGGGCATCCAAGGGACCTCACCTGAGAGGAAAGCAATTTCACTGAAGAGCATCCACTCATTGGAGAAATAGAAATGGCACTGCAGGAAGCGCCCCAGGTGTCCCTCCAAGGGCACGGTGACAGAGCGGGCACTGGGGTCCTTGACATTCACTGCCAGCTGGTGAGTCACCAGCTCAGGATCCCAGGCAGTTTCAAGGTTCTGCTTGAACCTACAGTCCACCTGACGGAAAATGCTCACACCCCACGTGTGCATGTTATTGCAGTGGACCTGCAGAATGAGGAGAGAGGGAAGTTGGTACCACCACTCCCTATCCCCAGAGAGCTATATAGGACAAGTACCATATTTACACACATAGCATTCACACCTTCCCCCCAAAATTTAGCCTCCCAAAACTGGGGTGGGTCTCTTAAGCAGGGAAATTGCTACTACTTTTGGCCAAAACAGACATAGCCCACTTTGATTCCTGTTCCACCCAAAGTTTCAACCAACTTCCCAGCAATAGCAGTTGTATTTCTATTCAGGCATCACCTAGGGAGTCAAATGATGTAATGGCGCATTGTTCTTCATAGTTGTTAACAACTGTTTCTTCTATATAATGGTTTTGATGTTTCACTAATCAAGCTAACCTTTTTTCCTGCAATTCCTAGGGCCCCCTATGCTGGTACCTTCATGTAGGTGAAGGTCCGGAGACAGTCAAACTCAAACTCCATCTCCACATAGCCCATAGAGAAGGACTCGTTCTTCCACCCGATGTAGTCATAGCCTGGCCAGACCCGCAGCTCCTTGGTCCGAGTGAAATCATCCAGTCCCACCACACCATCTACAAGTTGCCCAAGGCCCCCAAACTGAAGCCTGTAAGGGGAAGAGAGGCAGCACCATGAAGAGAGGCCACCAGCACCCAGTTTGGACACCACATGGGGGAGCTTTCAGACATGGGGGGTGGGGGGAGGATGGGCTCGGACACTAGTGTTCTAGCACCACTGAAAGGAGTTGGGAAGCTCTGGGATGGGGTAAAAACACAGGTGCTGGAACCCACCAAATAAGCTGAGGGGCACTTCCTGTCAATGCATCTAGCCATAGATCTGCCCATCCATCCATTCAGCCCTCCACCTATTCCTCTTCAAATCTGTTCATTCATCAGTCTGTCTTGGCATGCACCCTTCTGTATCCTTTTATTCAGATCTTAAGGTCCATCTATGAAGCTGTTCATCCTTTTATCAAAAGATTTCCTTTCCCACTCATCTGTCCACCCCTGGTCACATGGAACTATACATTCATAGGATCAGAGAAAAGTAGGGCTGGACGGGACCTCATGAGGTCATCTAGTCCAACCCCCTGCAGGATCATCCCCGAGTGAGCCATCCCAGCCCAGTGTCCATCCAACCTGCTCTTGAAAACTTACAGAGGTAGATTCCTCAACCTTTCCTGGCAGCCTCTTCCAATGCATGACTGCCCTTATAGTCAGAAAGTTCCTCCTCATCTCCAACTTATATCTTCTGCTGTAGCTTGAGACCATTGCTTCTAGTCCTGTCCCCTACAGCTACAAAGAGAAGCCTATTTCCATCCTCTGTCATTGCCCTTCATGTCTTTTGAAGTCTGTTATAAAACCTCCCCTCTGTCTTCTCTTCTCCAGACTAAATAATCATAATTCTTTCAGCCTTTCCACATAAGTCATGTTCCCCAGGGCTCTAATCATGTTGGTCACTATTTGCTGGACTCTTTCCAATCTTTGCAGAACTCCTTTGAAATGTGCAGCTCAAAACTGGGCACAGGACTTCAGATAAGGCCTCACTACTGCCTAATAGAGCAGAAGTGTCTGCCATCTGTCCACTGATCTTCACATCCATCCATCCATCCATCCCTTCAGCTATCTCTTTACCCATCCTGCATCAGATCTCCCTTCCACTTATCTGTCTGTTCATCTTCAGGTCTGTTCGTCCATCCATCCACCCTGTCAGATCTGTCCATTCATTTTCCCATCCATTCATTGCTGCATCTACCTGAGAGTTGGGGGCAGGTGTCAAGAAGCATGGCACTAGCAGAGCTTCTTTTTATTGGGTCAAGTAGGCACCAACAGGGTGCTGAGATGGGGCACTGTAGAGGGGGTAGAGGAGGGTACCAGCATGGGGTCACTGAGTGGGAGATAGGGAGTGGGTGCCAGCACCCACTTACTTGCTGATGCTGTGGCCATCATAGGTGGAGTCATTGAGGTAAACAGGTTCTGGCTGGAGAGGCATAACTTGTCCCATGGGGGCGGTGTAGGACTGCAGTCCATCTGTAGGGGGAGACAGGGAACAATGCCCCTGAGTTCCCAGGATGGGAGGCAGTAAGGCAGAGAGGAGGAGAGGTAGTGAGCACCCCAGAACCAGCTGGGGACTGAGGGGCATAGCAGGGGGCAAGGGGATGCCTCACTCCAGCTCCTCACCCCACCAAAAGTGGATGTACAGCCCCATGCACAGGAAAGAGCAGGTGGGGATGGGTGTATGAGGGGCCACTCACCCCGCCAGAGGCAGCCATACAGTTCCACACGCAGGCAGACGCTCATAACACGGTCTGCACGGGGATAGAAGCGGATGTAGCGGGCAATGATGGGTGGCCCAAGATCCTTCAGCACCACCTCATTTGTGTTAACGTTCCCAGAGATCACCTGGACAGGCAGTGAGGGGTTAACTGCATTGCAGGGCAGTGCCCCTGCCCACCGTTCTGGCTCCACCCCTCAAAAGGATATGTGCTTCACTCTCATAACATCACAGTCTCGTGACCTATCACATCACTGCTCGACATCATGTGACACTCAATGTCTCCTTGCCCACCCAAGCTGACATCACTTGCCTGCTTGAGACATTATCAGTGCCTGTCCTGACATAATTTCCCTCTTGCTGCAACTTCACAGAGCCAGTGACATCATAGCCCATGTACTGATGGCAGCATGCTCATGGGATGTGATGTCACAGGTAGGTAGATGATGATGTCAAGAGGCTGTGATGTCCACAGGGGCAGCTGCAACATCACAGGGAGCTAAGACATTTCAGGGGGCTGAAGGCCATAATGATGTCAGCAGGGGGCTTTGATATCTCATGGCTTTGTGACATCACACACTGCTATGTCACTGGCCCTATGGAACCTCCTTTCCCTTCCCATGACCCCCTCCCCCACCATT